AGCTTTGTTCCCCAGGAAAGGGATGGGGCAGTACAGGGAGGTATTTGTCTATTCATGAAACAACCCAAGTTGTAAAGCCAATTGTTTGAAAACCTAAGACAGATGCTACAGGCTGAAAAACTTTTCCTAGATGCCACAGGTAGGGGTCGTTAGTCTATCTTTCTGCTTCCTGGCCAGGTACTTTCATAAAAGAATTCCCAGCAAAGGCTGCTCTCAGGACCAGCATGGGACCACAACCCCCGGCTTTGTGACTTCTAGCACATCACTTTGTTGAGGACTTGGGACCCGCAGGATTGCCTGTCTGGAGTCCTCTCTACTCTTTGTCTATCTGTTCCATTCTCGCCAGTATTGACCAGACTCAAAACCTGAGAAGCAACCCCTCTGCTTACCTCCCCAGTTCCCTAACCCACTATACCACATTTTCTTCCTTTCCACATCCAGCCCTTTAGTCCCAAGGAGTCCTGGGAGCAAAGTGGTTAGGCGTTAGGCGGCTAACCACAAGGTCAGCAGTTTGATTCCACTAGCCACTCCGTGGGAGAAAAGTGAGGCTCTCTGTACCAGGAAAGATTTACAGCCTTAGAAACCCTGCACAGGGTCTCTAATGAGTTGGAACTGACTCAAGAGCATACCACCACCACCACCACACCTCTTATTCCCACCAGGTACACAGTGTTTGATCAGGTGGTTTTTTCACCTGGACTGCCCTTTCTCATAACCCTTCTGGTTGAAACGCTTTATCTTCAAGGCTCAGCTCAAATGACACCTCCTTCGTGAAGCCTTCCACAAAAACTTGTTCTTTGTGATAGATGAACAGCTTCACTGTGCTTCCATTGGTTTGAATGGAGTCCCCCCAAATTCCTGTCTACTTGGAACCTCAGAATGTGGCTGTCTTTGGAAACAGGGACTTTGCAAAGGTACTTAGTTAAGGATCTCAACATGAGATCATACCAGATCGAAGGTGGACCCTGAATCTAATGATGAGTGTCTTTTGAAGAGGAGAGGACACAGAGCTACAGAGAAGACCATGTGATAACATAGAGAAGACAGCCACAGGCAAGGAATGGCCAAAGCCACCTGAAGTTGAAAGAGACCAGGAAGCATTTTCCCCTGGGGTCTTCCGAAGGACTGGAGCCCCGCTGACCCTTAATTTTGGACTTCTGCCCTCCCAGAACCGAGAGAGAATACATTTCTATAGTTTTAAGCCAGTCACTTTGTGGTCATTTGTTACGGCAGCCCTAAAAAAGTACTGATTGTTTTTGTTAGCTGCCATCCTTGGTGCTGGCTCTTGAAGAGCTCATGAATAACAAAACAAAATGCTGCCATGTTGCCGTGCTTGAGACCATTTTACAGCTATTGTGCTGACCCTTAGGACCCATCTTATAGAAGGTTTCCGTTTCCTTCGTTGGCCCTCCACTTTACCAAACACGTAGTCCTTGTCCTGTGTGGGGGCATGCCCAAAGTTAATAAGTGGAAGTTTTGGACACTATTTTGTTGTGATCCATAAGGTTTTTTACTAATTGATATTTTGAAGCAAATCCTTAGGCCTTTCTAGTCTTCGTCTGGAAGCTCTGCTGGAACCTGTCCATCATGGGTGATCCTGCCATTGGTTGATATTGACAGCTTCCAGGAGCACAGCAACATAACTGTAATTTATGCCTTGACCGCAACACCTGGCTGGGTCTCTGTGTTTTTACTCATCTTTGTCCCCTGCCATGCCCAACAGAGCCCAGAGCTATGCCAAGGGGCACCTCACACTGCTTTGTTAAAGTAGGTTTCTCAAAAACGGGCGTCATAGGAGAGACAGGTCTGGGTTCTGCCCAAGAGCTAGGAATGCAAAGAGCACAGGACTTCAATGAATGTGACAGAGAACAGGATTTACACATCTACTTAAAGGGCTGGTTCCCAGCCAGCTGCTTTGGAAACAGGGTTCTCAAGCCACATTCTGTAAACTCACAATTCTGTAATAGCAAGGCAGATAGAACCCCAAGCCAGTTCTCATAGTATGTCCCATGAAATATGTCCTTGGGTCCCGGTTCTACCTCTCTCAATGATGAAGGGGTTCACCCCATCTATGTGGTCATTTCCTACACAGGCCTGCCATCATGACCCAGTGTTCTAGTCCAGCCATTTGTCTACTTCAGGACTAAAGACTGAAACTGTCAAAGCAAATACTTCCCCAAAAAGTCTCCTCCTCCTCCAAGGAGACCCTGCAAACACTGTCAAATGCAAGGATTTTAGAGACTGGGCTCAGTAACTAGCCAGGAGTCTTAGTAGACAGTGGGCCAGAGCTTTGTGAATGCTTTCATGGGAGGAATTCTAAGAGGGAATAGAGAGAGAGAAAAAAAAAATTGATTCTGGTAAGGAATAGCCCAGCAAGAGCCTTACTCTTAGAGACCGTAACCAAGTTTGGCCTGGACTCAGGTAACCTGGGTTCCTTGTGGGTTAGCAGAGATGTTTCCAGGTTAGAAAGTTTCGAATGCCTTCTGGATCCTTTGTGTGCCTTTAAGAATAATCATCACTCAGGTCACCCTGACAGCCCAAGGCTCACTGTGACCCACAAATATTGCCAAATACTGTTTGACTCACGGTCAATGGCACGGGTCATTATAGGACTGGTTGTCATCTCCCACGCACCCCCCAAATCAACAGGCTTCTCTCTCCTGGATGTGTAGAGCCTCTGCTCACCCTTCATATCCAGCCCCACCAGATACAGCCCAGAAGGGCTCTGAGAGGCAGCCTCTCCTTCCACCACCAATGGGAGCCTAGGGCGAGTCATCGGCGGTTCAATATCTCTGCCTGTCTAACTCCACTGCAGGTTGTGGGTGGCACTCAGCCCTCCCTGACTCTCCACAGATGGTCCCAGACCACCCCCAAGCCCACTTTTCACACATGTCCCCAACCCAATTAGCCAACTCCTGTAAAGTCCCTATCCTTACAACACTGGGAATTGCCCCAAAGCCCTCTCACTGGCCCTAGATAGACTCAGGCAAGAAGCCACGGTTTCTAAATTCCCCACCGAGACAGCAACAGAAGGCTCATTAAAAAGTAGCTCCATTAATTGGCCAGATAATTACAAGTTCCAGTGAGTGCTCTTGGCCATCCTGATTGGTCCAATGGCTGAACTAAAGTGAATTGGCACTGGAAGTTTCATAGGCCCCCATGGATCCTGTTTTCTGTGACCCTGACACTGATTTCTGACATCTTTCTAATTGGCCTTACGTTTATTCTCTAGTAGAAGATGCATGAAATTGCAGATTCCATTTTGCACTATTCTATGTGCTCCCGCCGCCTTCCCCCCCCCCCACCCGGTGCCATGTTCTTCTTTTAATTTAGGATTGTTTATAGTCAGTCAAGTTTTTCCAGATTGACTAAGAAGAGTGTTCTTACTATGACTACTGCAGTCAGTTACAAGAGCAGTAAAAGAGACCCAGGGTTTGGGCCAGCTGGAAGATTCAGAGAAAGTTCCTCTGGGAAGCAGACTGCTGAGGAATGACAATCACATGCAATTGCCCAAATGCACCAGGCACTAATAAGCCCCATATCCCCTACCCAAAAAGGGCTCTCATCTACCCTCCAGATGCCCCTCTGGAAAGTGTGGTGGGAGTCCCTCAGTGAGGCATGGCTCCAAGGAAATGAAACTGCTGGGAAAAACTCTTACTTCAGTATGTTCAATGGTTAAAAACACTTCCGAACTCCCCTTCGGTGTACAAGGTCAAGCAGCTGTCCAAACCACCCAAGGAGAATCAGGGAGTCCTGAATACCCAGACCCCAAATAGCTTGCTCCCCCCACCCCCAACCTGGCTAGGGAAGAGTTAATGGGCAATGGGCTTTGGCTGATAGTTCAGGCTCCAAAGTTCAGCCTTAGTCAGAGCTACCCCAGAGGAATTGTAAATCTCAGGGCAGTATTTAACAAAACAAAAGCAACCTGGAATTACATGCAGGTTTGGTTTTCTACAGTACATATTTACTTAATCCCCAAGGTATGTGGCTCCACATCAGATCAGCTGGCTTTGCTGGCCCTTTCAACCCCCCCCCCCCAACAGTTTAAGTTTCAAACTAATTCCCTGTTTTTGCTCTTCCTCTTCACAGGGTTGGCTGGAGACAGGCTCAAATCCCTCTCCATTGCTCTTGTCACTGGGTGAGTCAGCCGAGCTGGAGTCCCGGTTGGGTGACAGCCGGCTCACCCACCCTACTTTCCTCTCTGGCGCTAAGTCCATGAAAACTGGGGGAAGAGTTGCTGGGGTCACCAAAAAGTTAAAGGCTGCGTCTGGGAGTGGGGACTCCCTTCCCCACCGTGCCACCTCCCACTTAATGGGGAGTGATCCCCTCTGGAGTTTTATTGGGGGAAGGGGCAGAGTTGAAGGTGAGAACAAGGGCTCTTTATCAGCTGCTGGTTCCCCCAGCCCCACCTCCTTTCCGATTTCCAAGCACCTCGCTTCCTAGTGCCTGCCAGCCCAGGCTAGACTGCCCCCAAGACCGCTCCCCACTTTTCAAACCCAAATCAAGCATCCCCTCTCACGAAGCCTTCAGAGTTAGTAGCGCTCAGGTGGGGGTCGGGAAACAGGTTGCCAAGGAAAATACAAGGCGCCAGCTAGCAGGCGGCTCCCAGCAAAACCCAGGAGCGCACACACCCTGCACTCCCAGGGTGGCGGCAACTAGGGGAAGGAAAGGGGGAAAAACAACACCTTCCTTGGAGAGTGAGGAATGTGGGGAATGGGTGGGTCTCCTAAGTTTCGGGGTGGGGGTGTAGAGCCTGCCAGCCACCGATCCCAGAGGAGCAGACCAACTCCCGCCAGCCAAAAAAGACAGCCCTGTGCCCGAGAAATTTACAAGGTGAAATTGACTAGCTCAGCACTTGCGGGTGGCTTAAGGGAGTGGGACGGCCGACGATTCTCAGCTTCTGGATTAGTGATCCGGCAGCAGGAGCAGGTGGGTGCAAAATTCCCCCTCCGGCAGTTCATCTCGCCCTCAGCTCCCACCCCAAGACGCTGTGCCCGTACCTTTCTCGCGCCGCGCTCTGCAAACTCGCGAGCTAGCTGGCGGCCGATGCCTCTCCCGCCGCCCGTGATGAGGACGTTCTCCCGCGACAGGTCCCGCAGCTTGGCGGGTAGCACCAGTCCGACGGCTGCTTTCACCACCAGATAGATCATCTGCAGAGGGAACACCACCAACGCGCCCAGCCATTTCCACACCATCCTCCGCGTCGCGGAGCCGGGCAGGGGGCGAAATTCCCCCGACCAAACAAAACCGGAATTAAAAAGAAAACACCTCACGCAATAGTAAATAAACTGAATCAGGTGGAGAGAGGCGTCCCACCTGGCCAGTCGTGAAATCAACTCTTCCTAAATGCAAAGTACCGGGTGAGAAAAACGGGAAGAAGAAGAAGAAAAAAAAAAAGTAAATTCGCCTCGGGAGGAGAAAAAGCGTCTTCAAAAGTTGGGACGCTAAGAGAGGTGGAGGGGAAGCCGGAGGTGGAAAGTTCTAACAAGAAGTTTCTTGCCCCAGCAGCCGTTTCGGCTGGGGAATTCTCAGGTAATGTTTACAGGCTGACAGAGGAGTTTAGGCAAGGGAAAGGAAAAAAAAAAAAAAAAAAAAGGCAAGCACCAACCACACGCGCACCCTGCTACAGCCCTGCGGTTTCAAAGTGCAAGATTAAAAAAAAAAAAAAAAATGCCGTTTCCAAATTGTAGCTCCCACAACCCTCCCCCCTTCTCCAGGAGAAAAAAAAGTGGGGGGAAAGTGTTTGGAGCTCCCCAATTGAGCCCGCGAAAGTCTATCGACTCATTGCTATTCTTGGGCTCAGGAAATTGCTTAAACGCGCTCTGATTGCCAGCAACGTGCAGGAGAAGTGGGGGGTCCGGGTGTCAGTTTCTCTCGGTGCTTGGCTCGCCCTCGCGCGCGCTCGCTCGGGCTCCCTCCCTCCCTCTCTCCTCCAGCAGAGACTGGGAGTTGCCGCACGATCGGGCTCCCTCTCTCTCTTTTTAGCTGGGATTGCCTTCTTTTTCTCCTTTCCAACTTGGAGAGGGCCCGAGTGCCGAGCGCGCGAGGACCGGACGCCTAGGTCCGCGCCGCCTTATTCATTCGTTTTCCCCCCGCAGCCGCGGCGCGCAGCGAGAGGACGGCCCTTTTCTTCCCCTCATTTTTTTATACCCCGTTAAGTCTGATTGACAGTTAAAGTGTTCGGAGGTTTCACTACCGTGCCTCTGAGTGGCTGCTGCGGCTCCCCTCCCCCTGCGCCGTGGCGGGGCGCGCGCGCGGGCGCGCACCCAGGCTCGCCCCAACTCGCGCTTTCCCAAGCTGGCGTCCCTCTCGGCAAGCCGGGACTTGCCGGCGGTGCCCCTCAGGGCTTGCAGCTGTAACTCGAACACGCTGGAACCGACCCCCGCGAACGGGCTCCCTCCCTGGAACATTCCTCCAGGACCCAAGACGCGTTCTACCCTAGCAGGGGCGCTCGAGGGCCAGGTGACCACCCCTGGTTGCGGGGCAGCCTGGGACTGGGGGATTTACAAAGGCCCGATGAAGTAAACAGGCCGCCCAAGGTTTATTTCGGGTCGTTTGGTCATGCTCCCTAGCCCCACCCCCCGCCTCCAGGTAGAGCCAGGGGCCACTCCTGACCTTTCCCCGGACTTCCACCTTCACCTAGCGGCGTACCTTTTAAATCTGACCTAGTTCCTCACGTCGCTACGGGATGTTGCTTTGAGAGGAAGGGGTGGGCTGGGTAAATAAAGGAACTTCTGCCCCCGAGGTACCAATAAAATCCTCCTAAGATTAGCCAGGGGCATATTTATTGCTCATCTGGGCTAGAGTTACCTTGATTGACAGCAATTTCCTTAATAACAAAAGCCTGTAAACAAACGTCCCAACGCAGCGCCCCCTGTGCCGTCCTGGCGGCGGCGGCGGCGGCGGCTCTTCTCTTTGACTCTCTTTGGACTGCTCTAGTGGGGTGCCAGCTGTGGAAATGGGTGTCCTTCCCCCAACGCCAGAAAGCCCCCTCTGCTGGATGGAGGGGCCAAGATCTTTAGCGTCTTCTGTTGCAGTAAGCCTGGGAGGGGCGAGTCACTAAAAAGCACCCCCAGAAAAAAGTCCTAAAAGAACTTCTCCCTGCGCTATGCAGAATTCAGGCCTGGAGGACAGAGTGCAAATCTGAAAGCTGCCCAGTATGGGGGGCAGCGTTTCTCCAGCCAGACGTCTTCTAACCAGGAGGCCTGGGTCCCACCCCCAGGGGATACCAATTCAACAGGTCTGGAGCACGCGCTGGAATCTGTATTCTTAGAGCTGGGCCTGGTAGTTCTATTGAGGATTCCTGGGGAGAAAGTCACTTTGAGAACTGTTGACTTGGGAGGAGTGGGATGGGGTGGTTACCTCCTCTGTTGTGAAGACCTTCCAGTTTTGGGAGAATGATTTTATGCTAATGGTGGGTGGTACCAACACATTCAGCAGTGCTACAGAAGAAAGGCATTTCTGCGTCCAGTCCATAAAGATTCCATCCAAAAAACCCCCACGCAACAGTTTTACTGTCACATGGACTTGGCAGTAACTAGTTTTTTTGTTTCTTCAGGTGAAGTACTTCCTCCCAGGTGAACTGAGAAACTTGTGTAGAGAAACTCAGTTAATTGGAGAGCTGCTGGAAGAGCAAAAGGGGAGAGAAGGGGTGGATGGGAAAGTGTCCCACATTGATGACTTCTGACTTTGAATCCTCACACTGTTACCTGTATTTCCCAGGTAACCCAGCCAGGAAGTTGAGCACAGGATCCACGTAGTGTTTGCTACCAACTCATAGCTAACCTATTGGAATTGGGAGAACTGCCCTGTATCTTTCCCTAAACTGTAGTCTTCCAGGGAATAGACCAGATCTTTTCTCCTGCTGGTGGGTCAAAATTGCTGACCATTGCACCACCAGGGCTCCTCCGGATCTATATCCAGACCCTATTCTCCTTACCCTCCACCACTGGGGAAAACGTGGAGAGATGGAAAATTAGACTCAGCGAGGACCGCTATATCAAACACCCCAGAAGTATGACTGAGAGTATGCCTTTATCTGACTCTCAGCCTACTAAAGCAGGGCTCTCTCTGCATGGTGACGGTCCCCATCCACCTTTGAGGTCTGTAAAAATAGAAGAATTTCAGCCTGGGAGAGACAGGCCCGTCCTACCAGAAGAGGCTGGCGCTTGTTCTCCTGGCCTGCAGACTTTCAACTGGGCAAGTCTAAAGCCTGCACGCAGCCTGTTCTCATCTGTTATACTCGGAAGCCGCCTAGTGGCTGGAGCTGGGCACTACACCATCAAGCTACCCCAGCCTCCAAAGTCTCTGCTAACCAACTTATAGGCCTTTCTATCCCCAAGGCAAAAAGGCGGAAGTTCCCCTCTACACCCACTGTTTTGTTGAGGAAGAAACGGACGCGGAGACGTTGTCACTTATAAACACACAGGCATGTCTACCTAACCCGTTACCCCACCCTGTTTGGCCACCAGACTTTCTTAGTAGCCACTATTATCTGCTTGTGTGTGTTTGGAGGAGTAGTGAGTGGGAGGGCAGTTGAGAATCAAATTGGCCAGGTTCTCTCCTGTATTATGTCATTTTACCTCCTTCACAGCTGAGGTGTGTCATTGTGCCCACTTGACAAAGGAGTAAAACAGAGGAAGCCTCACCTTTCCCAACCCTCAGCTTTGGTGGGAAATTCGTATAAAAAGGAACCTCTCAGATCACCCCAGAAGGAGTGCCAGAAAGCAGGCCCTTTGTTCTACTTGCTCCAACTTCAGGAGGGTGTATTTTTTTGTTTTATCTTTTGCTTGTTAGGTTTTCAGGATTGTGAGCCTTCAACTTCTTCTGTCATAAAGTATTCAGAGAAGTTAAAGGTTGCTGGGTTGCACCTACCCAAAGGTACTGCGTAAGAAAGGCCTGGTGAGTTGCTTTCCATGACAGCTGAGAAAACCCTGTGGAGCAGTTCTATTCTGTAACATAAGATCCCCAGGACTCAGAATAGACTTAGTTTGGGTTTATTGCCCTCTGGTGTGGCACTGTGGGTTTATGCACCGGGCTGCAAAGTTGTTTGGACTGCAAGGTTGGCAGTTCAAGCTCACTTGCTGCTCCTTGGAAACCCTATGGGTTGCTATGGGACGGAACCGACTCAAAGGCACTTATCAACAACAACAAATCCCTGGGAAGCTGGGAGTGAGAGGCAGTCAGTTGGGGGATGTACAGTTGAGAAGGTCTATCCTGGGCTGGCTTCTGTGAGACATGAATGGAAGGCATTTCTTGTTCCCTTTCCACCGCCCACCCTCACCCCAATTCTCCACTCTTGGTATCCCCTCTCTTCTCCCTCCTTAAGCTTCCTTAGGGGCAGAGAGTGAGAAATTTAACTCCACAGCCAAGTTTGAAATTTCACATCCCTGGCTTGGTCAGAGGGCCCCACAGTTTTATTTTCTCCCCTCCTGAAAACGTGAAAGGAGTCTTTGTAGGTACAGTGGAGGAGGTGAGCCACAGCCGAAGAAGAACTTTTTCCGTGACTCAGCTGTCCGGGCAAGGCACAGCGTGAGCTTCGAGGAGGCTGAGTAAGGCTGCCAAGAAAGTTGGCCTGTGACCCACAGGGGACTGGCTGGGCCAGGTGGGCCACCAGACTGGACTCATCATTGGTCCCTGGTACCAAGTCCACAAGTCTTATGTGGACAGACCATCTCAGCTGAGAGTGAGATCCCCACAACCCAAGAAAACAGCATAGACCCCAGGCTTGCCTGTTAGTTAGCAGAGCTTAGAGGCATTAAGAAACTCACCTTAGACCATGAAGCTACTGAAAGACAGAGGTGGGATTTGAACCCTGGTCAAAGTCTGGCCCTTAGCATACCAGAAAGTTGATTATACAAGGAACTTTTCAAAATGCAGACTCCTGGGCCCCCTCCCAGACTTCCGGAGTCCAAAACCTGGGGCAGGGTTCCAGGAGTCTGCATGTGGATAAAGCAAGAGATTCTTGAGCAGCTGATGTTTGGGAGAACAGAAGCAGTGCTGGTTCAGGGGTAGAATTCTTGTCTTCCATGTGGGAGACCCAGTTTCAACTCCTGGCCTGTCAGTAGAGGCTTACCTGTTGCTGTGATTCTGAACAGGGTTCAGCAGAGTTCCCAAACTAAAAGGAGGAAGAAAGGCCTGGTGATCTACTTCCCAAAACATAGTCAATGAAAACTCTGTGGATCCCAATGGTCCGATTCCATTGTGCATGGTGTCTTGAGGTCACGGTAGGACTTTGGGTTTCATTTTCAGTGGGACGGAAGCATTTGGGAGGGAATGTTGAGCAGAAAAGAGATGAGATTTATGTTTTCAAAGCCTCACACCAGCTGCAATGTCCAGCATAGACTCTTAAGTGGAGGCAGGGAGAGAGGGATGTCAAGCAAGAGGTGAGATGTCTTGGCTACATGCTGCTTGGTAAGTGATGGGTGGACAGTGATGGCAGCCCTTTCCTCAGAAATATTCTAGTCGCTGAAGCCAAATCCCAGCAGTTCAGCGTCCCTAGCTCAGCCTCTCTCCTTCCCTCCTTTCTTTCCCTCCAGTCTTGGAGCAGGATTTTAAATCACACACACACACACACACACACACACACACACACAAGGCTTTCTTTGACAACTGCTTATTTTCCCTCACACAGAACAAGCTGGCAATGTGGAAGGGAGGCTGGATTTGGAA